GAGAGAGAGAGAGAGAGAGAGAGAGAGAGAGAGAGAGAGAGAGAGAGAGAGAGAGAGAGAGAGAGAGAGAGAGAGAGAGAGAGAGAGAGAGTTCGGCTGCCATAGATGCTTTCTTCGATGACGACATTTTTTATACACCTCCTAAAGGCTGAGAATATTGCGAGGAATGAGCCTCGCAGAGCCCTTATCAGACATACAAGTGTTCTTGGCTGTGGTCCCTAGCAAGGCTCATGTCCGCCCTAAGTGAAGGCGGGCCTGAATATCCACGTGAGGCCTGTTCTCGACAATTTTTCCATATGTGGGTACTCAGACAGTTGCAGCATGCCGGTTGGTTACAGAACAACGTGAGCCTCCAGGCTCTTTCCAAAAGCAAAGGGCTGCATTGTACAGTTGAGCCCAGGGCTCAGGAGGTTGCGCCCTGGGCACACGCTGGGTGAGGCCGACCCATCACGGACTGATTACGGGCCAATGAGGAAGCAGTATTGTCGTCACACATGTGCCGTGAGCCAATGAGAATGGTGCTAACACTTGGAGGCTGGGTGGCAGCCTGAACTTGCCTAACTGCACGAGGCCCAGTCCAGTTTTGGAAACTGGGCCTGGGCGCAGACACTTGGGGCCCAACTGAAGCTACTGGCCCCCCCCCACGCCTGGCCAGGACAGCCAGCAGCGAGACGCTTTTCCTGGTAGGGGCAATCTGGCCTTGGGAGGCAATGCGGACACGCTGCTGCGTTGCTGCGCTAGCATCTGCATGGGCCTACTGGTCGGACGTGTGCACAGGCACAGAGGTGAGGGGCGCTGCAAGGGCAGCGGACGCACAGCAGCCATAGCCGGTCTGCAGGGTTGCAAGGCACATGATGGCGAAGGTGGTCTTTGGGTAGGAGGGGCATGCTGCGGGAAGATGAGGGGTGGTGAGGGGAGGAGAGAAAAGTTACCTGGTGTATGCTGGTGGTCGGCATTGGTGTTGACGTCACGTACATTGGTCTTCGACTTCAGAGTGATCCAGTTGCAAGAACGTAGATAGGGTAGATAGGCTGAGCAGGATAGGCTGGGTGCTGGGCGCCAGACAGTAAATGCGACATTGGATGCAGTTTTGGTGTGACCAGAGAGTGGCGACATTGACATTTGAGTTCATTGCATTGCTCTTATTTGGACGGTATCTTGGTGCATTGCACTCTCTGCTTGGTTCATGACTATCTGAGCTTCTTCGTGATTTTGTAACTTGGATTTCTGTCTATCGCTCTCGCTCATATTCCTTGCAATCTGGTATTGGAGCTGGTTTGAGATCCGCTGTTACCGGCGCTGGCGACATTGTTACTTGGTGCGCTGGGGAAGCTTCTACACAGTGAGGATACATTGGGGCTGGCATGATTTGCCACTCCCGGGTAGAGGGGAGGCTGGCAGGAAGGCTGTGACACATCGTGGGAGCTGTGGCGACAACTGGTGTTTGCGGAATGATGAGAGCATGCCGACATGCATTTTGGCTGAGGTGGCACTGCATTGGTACCGAGGCTATGACCGGTCATCGAAATGCATGTCGGCTCGGTTGGGGGCAGGTATCTCCAGGTACGTTGTTCCCTTCCCTTATCTTCTCATCTCAATCTCTTCTGGTACAGGAGTCGTGAGCGCTCTACCTTGAGAGTCGGCATTCTTCTTGGCGATGCATCTGGAAGGAGAGGGCGGTGCCTCTGAAGGGCCCTGGTCGAAGCACAGGTCACGGTCACGGTCACCATGCCAACCCATGGGGGTAGAGCACGCATGCTTTGCTGCTTTGTCCTTTTAAGCTCTTGCTGCGCTGTAGAGGGAACGTGGACGGACCAGTCCTATGCAAAATGTTTACCAGACCGTCTATAAATTATTTATGGCGGGATCTGATCTGAACACTGGCTGTGATCGCTGTCCTGTCTACAACGTTAAGTAATTCCTGAGGACCTTGGGGGCTGTCCTTAAACTGCCTCTTGATCAGCCAGATCAGTCGGATGTAAGGCTCATTGCACGCGAGGATAAATAGTAGGCAGTACTGGTCATAAGCGGGTTCCTGGGCACATGGGTGGGCCGTTGTGCACACAACAAACACTGCTGCTTGATGATGCAAGTCAGTCTCGTTGGATACAGGGGACGAAAAGGCTCCAATTGGTGCTCGGGCACAAACACATTTATTTCCATTACCTCATACGTTTGTGCACTTGATCTATTTTTATGTTGATTAGTTGGTGTGACGGATTGCTAACACGTGACAGACAACATTAGTTTATAACTGTAGTAGTCTACCATTGCCAGTTCTATGTGATGCTGTTGTAGGAGTAAATCACTTGTTGAGTCTGTGGATAAACTGTTGACACCACTTGATCGGTAGCCCGAGTGACTTGCAGAATATTTATTTATTTTTAATTAATTTTCAACTCGGTTAGACACATGTTGTGGTAGGCTCCAGTGAGGGCACTAGTGCAGACAGTGAACTGCTTAGCTGATGAGCGATACAGATGGTGGTGAAGGGACAACCGACGATAGGAGGCAAACACGGTGGGATACACGAAAAATTCCGGTAGTGTCTCAGGTTCTGCTACCAGGGGACGAGAGAAGGTTTCGGGCTGAAGCAAGGGCCCGACATATGCAGACTGCTAGGGAGGCAGCAGCAGCTAGCGCAATAGTGATGGTGACATTTGCAACAACCTCTCAAGGTCAGCAGACGTCAAGAACCTTAGCTAGTTTCTCCTCCTCATCGAGCGGGATGAGTGCAGGACCTTCCACAAGTCAGATGGCGAGCTCGCAGTACAACTCGCCACCTCCACGCACTAGAGAGGCCGTAGAACTCCGACAAGTGGAGTTAATCCGCTTATGGCTAGAGAAGTAACTTAGGGAAGCTACTGAAAGAGAAATCGAGATTAGAAATAGGAAATCCAGATTGGAGAGCAAAAGGGCAGACAAGGCTGCAATAGAAGGGTTAGATGACTCGCCCTTGACGAAACTAGTAAAATCCTTAAGGTGGGTGTGCTGAGCACGTACGCTTACATGGACAACAAACTGGATGCAATTCAGGATACCCTTGACCGGGTACCGAATGCCATGCAGACAAGAGGAGGACCACATCCCTCCTTAGCTGGTGAGCCCAATGTCTGGCCGCAGGCACCGTTTCCATCGCCAATAGTAACACGGACGATGACAGGCCCATTTACCCCTCAATTTGGTACCCCAAGAAGCATCAAACATTTCTGACAAAATCCATGGTGCGAATTTGATATAACAAGCACTGGCTCCCAGTGCAACCTCATAAAAAGCTATGAAACACAGACCTGAAGAAATTGAAACACAAGTGACCCCACCAAGTGGTACGTCAGCAGGAGCAGCACAGACTGCTGCCGCTTCATCTTCAAGTCTAGTTGTTGCCGCTATGGGGCAGCAACCAGTTCCGCAAATGGGACTACAACAGCCTTGGTACCTCAAGACTCCATTGGAACCAACCCGGTCTTTCTTGTGAGATAAGAAGGACGCGACACTTGACACATGGTTGAGGACGGTTGCAGTATGGGTTAGGGCAAAGAGGACGTTGCTAGAAGAAGAGGTGATCACTGCTGCCTTATATCTTGAGGGATCGACAACGAGATGGCTAGATGGAATAGTGATACCGAGGGGTTTGGCCGGAGGATGAATGATTGGGCAAAGACCCACACACTAGAGAGCTTCATGGCGTTGGTTGAAACGCTGATGCGTTGGCCCGGCTTGATACGAAAAGGTACAAGTCCGAGCGTGAGCTCGCCGACACCATGGAGAAACTCGTAGTCGTCCCGGGAGTCCGCTATGATCCACAAGTCTTGCTGACCATGTACCTGAGATGTCTTCCCACAAATATCAAGAACCTGATGGTGAACGAGGCGAGCATCGATTATCACACTCTTGACTCCTTCAACAAGAAGGCCCTAAATTTAGAGGCCAATCTAGGAGGAGCATAACAAACGGTAGGAAGAAGAAGCCCCCACAAGAATGGAAGAAGAAGGGTAATCAGTTGATGATGGTTAATTCCGATGGGAATCAAACCAAGATCAATGATCTCTCTGTATCTTGTGGAAGAAACAGAGATGGGTGGCGAGGAGAGTTCAGAGGGTGGCAACCTTGCCACCAAGGAAAGGCAGCTGGCCGCAGCAAGGGCGGTCAACAAAACAGTTAGGGGCAGGCCCAAAACTCAAACAAGACTTCGACTTGGGTGAGGGTGGGCCTGGATCAAGATGTGCAGAGGGACTGGTATTCGCGTGGGACTTGCATAAACTGCGGTGTGTATGGTCATCAACAGTTTAAGTGCAATAACACCAAGGTCTCTCAAAAGATTCCGCCCAAAGGTGGTTTTAGGGTATCTTTCATGCAAAGTGGTGCTTCTACGAGCGCCAATCAAGGAAACACATCCGACCAGTAGAAGTTATAGCTGCTTCTACTCATGCTGAAGTGGGTGATGTACCCTCACCACCATAGGAGTTGGTTGAAGCTATTGACTCACTTGTCACCCCACATGCACATTCTGACCAAATGACACTTTATTTGTTGGATGTGTCTGAAGCCTTAAAAGACTTAGAAACGGAGTGGTCGGCAAGGGACCCTCGTGAGTCTTGGGTGGCACTGTTCAGAGGTCCTACAGGGGAGCATTTCGTTGTGGAAGTCGGTGTAGGTGGCCGCAAGTATGGTGCATTCGTAGACATTGGCTCCACACGAAATTTCATAAGTCACGACTGCGTTGAGAGACGACACTTAAGGGACCGGGTGCAACGCTTGGGTTGATCTGTAGCATCTACCCTTGCCAACAAAGATTGCATGGTTGTTAATGAGACGTAGTCACCTTCTACTATGGAGGTGGGGAACTTTCATCATAAGATTTCATTCCTAATTTGCGGTGACTTACCATTCGACATGTTGTTAGGTATGTACTACCTCAAGGTTGCAAAGCCCTAGTTCGACTGAGACCAAAAGGCGCTTAAGTATGTACTATCGGAAGGGAGGACAGTCTAATAGACACTTACGGTTGCATGTGTGCATCAACGTTCTCCAATTACTATAAACAGAACCAAGTGGAGGGTATGTACTTAGTCCTTGTCTCTGAGAAAGGGGACAAAGTTAAATCACCCCCAGAAATAGAAGCTGTCGTTGCTAAATACCCTGATTTGTTAGAGGAGCCTTCAGGAGTCATAGACAGGGAGGTTGTCCATGCCATAGAAATCATCCCAGGTAGCAAGACACCAGAAGGGAGAATCTATGGGAGGCTCCGACTGAGTTGGGCGAGCTTCGTCGGCAACTGAAAGAGCTTACAGAAAAGGGTTAGATCGGCCTAGTACCTCGCCCTTTGGCTTACCAGTTCTATTTGTCCCGTAGAAGGGGGGGACAATGAGGATGTCCATTGAATATAGAGGCCTCAATGCCATCACCGTTAAAAACGCAGAGCCTCTACCACGCATCGACGACCTTTTGGATATGGTGCAGGGATGTAAATCCTTCACAAAGATAGATTTAAAGTCCGGTTACCATCAAATTGCGGTTCGGCCAGAGGACCAACACAAAACCGCATTTCAGACCAGGTACGGTCTGTATGAGTTTGTGCTGATGCCCTGTGGACTTTGCAATTCGCCGGACACATTTCAGCACACCATGAATTAGCTGGCCGACTTGCATGGCATGTCTAATTGGCTGGCTGACTTAGTATGTCTAATTGGATGGCATGTTGAATTGGCTGGCTGGGCATAACGCGTCATGTTGGCTGGCCGGCATAGTATGTCTAATTTGCTGCCAAGGACAACAGTACACTACTCACATGATTGGGTGAGTACACCTGTGATGATTTACACCTTGTTTGTTCCCCCTGCTGCTGGCCTATTATCGACATGTAATATTTATATAGTATATACATATATATACTGCCGCTCATGGGTGTGCCGGTCAATACTGCCAGCTGTTCCTGCTTCGACTGTGTGTGTGTGTGTGTGTGTGTGTGTGTGTGTGTGTGTGAGAGAGAGAGAGAGAGAGAGAGAGAGAGAGAGAGAGAGAGAGAGAGAGAGAG